CACCCTCACTCGTCTTGAACGTTGGGGATGATTGCTATTCGTTGGTTCACCGCTGTTCACCGCTCACCTTCTCTAACAGATGTTTGCTTCAAGACCCGAGAATCCGGGAACAAACATTTGAACAGGAACCTGGGCTGTGCTCATTAAACATGCGACTTCACTGCATGGCACCTGGGATTAAACCAGGTCACATGGCGTCGCATGCGGCGTGGGATTCCTACTAATGCGAACTGGACATGGGTCATGGCCAGGAGCCACTCTTTTCTCGTGGCTTGGACTGTCACTGAGTTTTAAACGGGCCCAGACTGCTGTGCAACCAACATGATGGTCTCCCGGTCTGGGCCCCGTTAGTCCAAAGCTCCAGTGCGAGGACGCGGGGCTACAAATCGACGATCCTCGCCATAGTCAGCCTCGCATGGTGAACAAGACCTTTCATCTTTGTACCCTGGTCTGAAACGAGGCGAAGTGACTAGCTCTTGGGTCTTTCTCTAGCTTTCCAGATGTCGTTATTTAGAGAAAGGTGGACGGTCCTCCCGCGAAACCACTTTGCCGTCTCGCCACGGGTGACCCATGTCTGTTGGATACCTGCCGATTGACCAAGTAACCGCCTGGGAGCTCGGACACAAAGAGACTGTTCTGTTCACTACCGCCGATGACATGATGGATTCGTCTGCCTGTGGGGAATGCTATCAAACTGACCTTGCCTGGTGTGGCTCGTTCTGACCCAAAGGCCCCAAACATCGCTTTCACTGTTCAAACTTCAGGACGGCGTGGGATCGCCGATTGACGGAGCTCCGGGCACGATGAGGCAAGACTTTGTTTCTTTGATCCTCAACAATATTGGTGACAGGAACTCCGCACATTGACAAAAATCCCAAGAGCCTACCCTCCATCAGCCCATGCCCCCAGACTCGGCCCCAGGGGACCTACACCACTGTTGGTTGCATCGTTGACTGTGATAGTTGACTACCAACAAAGAGATGGACCTAGCCCCCGAGTGCCAGACTGCGAGACTCACATGATGGGCCTAGAAGAAGAAGCAATAAGCGCTTTACTTAGACGATAGATAGCGCGTTTGCCGCGCCATCCTGGTATGGCAGGTCGTCATTGAGAATCACTCAACTGTTGCGACATTTCCGTCCCAACTTGATCGACCCCTGTCGGATAGTTATGGAGCCCGGTTGGAAGCTCTTTGAGAAGTCATCGCAGCTGTTCAGTGAACAGTTCCTTGACCCAACGCCATCCTGCCAGCCACGGTGAGCAAGACAAAAAGGAGGGTAGCCCCAGGTTATGTTCGCGGTCAATCGTCAATCATTAACCACTTGACGAACTTCTACCCTGTTCTTTATCGTGTCATCTAATCTCTAGTCACCATGTTCAACGAGTACAGCCAGTTCGTGTTGAGGAACACCGCCCAGATGCCTATTACCCGCTTCACGATGCCCCGTGTTCCCAAGATGATTGAAGCCATCTGCCCTGGCTGCTTCAAAGGGTTCACCAAGATAGGCAGCATGCACCGCGTGAGTCCACGAACATCATACATGCTTCCCTCCCACCTCTTCAAGACTTCAAGACAAACTTCAAGAACACTGGCCTGACAAAGTTGTCATCCTTCAGCACGTTTATGAAGACCGATGCCCCCACCCGATACCGCAATTCGTCGCCAAAGTCAAAGCTGAGCACAGAGCGCGGGTTGCCGCCACTGCTGCCCGGTCCAAGGCTCGCAAGGCAGCCCGTGCTTCACGGGTTGACCCGCTTCCCGCCGCCCCGACCCCGGCCGTGAGGGATCACCCTAGCCGGGCAAGGGAAAATAGCATGGGCCGGAGCCCGGGCTTTTTGCAGAATGATTGCAGCTCGCACTTTGCTCAGCAGAGGGATCTGGAGATGGTATGTTTGCTGTGAAAGATCCACATCATTGGGCCGGTCTGTGACAGGTTAAGACTGACATTGAGAAGCTGTCACAGCAACAACAAAATGACTTCTGTCCTGTGATCAAGACTGAACCGGATTTTTCGGCCTTCAATTTCCCGAGTCTCATCGCCAGCTGGGATACGTATGATGTGGGAATCAACATCAAAACTGAGTCTCAGTAGTCTTGAATGGACGTGTAACGTTGGACGGGTTGGGGCCCTAGGGGAGATAGTATGTTTTGAACTTGTTTTTATTCTGTTTCTTGTATTTACTATTGTCGCTCTCGGAGGATCACGAGAGCCAGATTACCTTGTATTCACCCACATAGGATTTCTCCTCTGATCATGAGACGGTATCTATCACACCGATCTTATTATATGTTGTACCACCAATCCACTCCCATTCAACAATCTCAACCTTGGTCGCATTGCGCTGAACGAGACCATAGACTCTCCCAGCTGAGTTGGCAGCAATCTTGAAGGGCCTGTCCTCGCCGGACATGGTGGAAATCTCTCCCACGTTGGTCCACTCTCCTTCAGCGTACGTTGTCAGCACAGGCGCTTTGTCTGCCTGTGCCCCTAGTACGTGCATGACCAGGTTGTTGTTGCTTTCGTATCCGCTCGAGAAGGCCGCGATTGTTGCGTTCGTTTCAAGCGTGGTTGGTAAGGTGTTATTGGTCCAGTCATTTTCGTTGACGAGGGTGAGGTGGATGAGTGAGCCTGTCTCAGAAGTATAGAACATAGCCATCCTCTTCGTGGTGGCGTTGGTATAGATGGGAATCATAGACATCCCGGTACCCTCTGCAGGCTTTCCAAAGTCGGTCGATATGCCCACGGCGGCCCAATCGGTCGCTCCTTCGCCCGTCCGGCGGAGAACACGGATGGTATTCCCGGCGTCCTGATATAAAACAAGGTTCGATAGGTATGAGTCCGGGGTGTAGATGCCGTTAGACAGTAGGTTTGACTTCGCGTTCGCAGTAAATGTGTTTGAGACGCCGGACTTATCCCAGGTTGAGCCGTAAACAGGGTTGGCGTTAATGATGCCCGCGACCTGGTTCGCATCGTTGAGGTAGTAGATACGGACATCGCGAACCTGAAGAATAGGGTTAGCAATGGTCACACGCATTTGAGTAGCTGATGGAATAGCGGCAACTTACCTTATCGCTATGCCAGAACAAGCTGTTGGAGATGGGAGTGCCCTCCTTAATCGTGCTCTCCCTGTTGGTAATTGTTGAGCTCCACACTTTTGTTGAAGAGTTGTAAGACGACATCATAAGGTTCTTAGACCGCAGCTGGTAGAACACGAGATGGTTTACGTAGCCATAGTAATCGGTAAAGTTGAGCGCGCCAATGCTGGTGGTGGGCAGGATATCCAGCTCATTCGTTGTCGTCGTGTTGTTAGAATCGCCGCTGCTATCACCACTGCTGTCGCCGCTTCCACTCCCACTGCCGCTGCCTGAGCCGGTACCACTGCTGCCACTCCCGCTGTCGCTTGATCCACCCGAGCTGCTGCTTGATTGTTGCGAACTGTTGCTTGCCGACAATGCGCCACCGACCCCTCCTCCTACCGCAGCGCCAATGACAATAATGAGCGCCACGGCTAGAATAATCCAGAACGTCTTGCGTCGCATGCCACATATTGTGCCCGCCCTCTTCTTCTGCTGCTTCTCATCGATCTCTGCTGTCACGACTTCTGGCGGGTTGTCTTCTTTCGGAGCATAGTACCCGCTGGAATCATATGAACCGTTTTGATACTCGACTGATGAGACGCCGCCCTCCGCTGGGTGAACGGCCTGAAGCATCGAGTAATCATGGCCGTATGGGTGCACGGCTTGTGGGAGGTCGCCGTCGCGATTGTTGACTTCGGGCAGGTTATTCTGGTCCGTGACGCGGAATTTGCTCAGGTCTTGATCGCCATATCCTCCCGGCGATCGGCCCGGTCGGCTGTCGACCTCAAGGCCGCTGTAGTACTCCGGAGGAGACGCGTTGTTCTTCGGAGTTGTCATAGTGCCGCGCTCATTGCTCAATGGCGGAGCAAAACGGGACTAAAATCATCTCCAGCATTCAAAGGGGCGGAAAGATGAAAGATTTAAGGCATCGGAGCCCAGACCCAGGAACCCGGAGGGGAAAACCATATCGCTATGGTTCTATGGAGCCCCATATTGACAGGCCGCAACGTTGAGCGCCAGAGATTGTGGATTATCGTCGGGACTTTGGCTCTTCTCGAGGAATTCATAGCGGTTGACTGGCGCCAAGCGGCGGTAAGGGGTCTGAAGGATTGGAATCCCTGCTTACGATGGAGCCCTCCAAGGCAGCTCTTTTCTTGATGAGGATAAGCGCTGACGGGGGCTCCATTTCCGATGGAGCGGGATCCCGCGAATGGCTTCCGCTTAGGTGCCCGCTAGCTTCGGTTGTGGGATTACCATAATCAAAAAAGAGGACCATTTGATGGTCTTCGTGGGGTCGCAAGTTCTCAACGGCGGGCCAAAGGGGCTGGACTCTGGTGATGATTCCTTCTTCCCGGAAACAGATCCATGCCATCGCGTGGTTCTGGTCCTTTGAGGATCCTTCAAGGCTTCATTGGGCTCGAATTGGCGAAAGCTGAAGATGGGACGGCTGCTGTCAGTCGCGAGTGTGGCAAGGCACGGAATTTTGGAGGATCAAACCCTTACACAACCTGACAACACAGCCAAGATCGATATTGTTGAGTTGAAACTCGGGTGCCTGAAAAGCCAAGATGCGCGAAATGACAGGCGTCAAACCGGTGAATCTCAGCCCCAAAGGAGCGTCTGCCTTGACCGGAAAACCTACATTCGTAAATCGAGTCTTCTGTATCCAAATGTGAGATGAATAGACACGACTGAAGAAAATTGAATCCTGCATCATAACTTCTCTGGATGCTTGTAGGAATAGTGCTGCATTGGATCACATGTCGTAGTGGAGTTGTCCAACTTGCAACACACAAGCGAAGACGTTATTTCCGAACGAACCCCGTCATTCCCGCAACAGATGCAGTGCCAAGCCTCGTTGATTTCATGGACCATAATCCCGTTTTCCGTTACTCCGTACGAAGTACATCCAGGACATTGACCTCGTTCCGTCCGCCTCGTGCTTAATGCGCGGCGGCAGTGCATCGTTTAGTGTCTGAGTTGTCAGTCTTGAGTTTTCATGCAATTACCGGTCATCTGCTTCCGCGACTACCGACCTTACCTTAGGTATGACGATCTTGGTACTAAATTGATGCGTGAGGCGTCAAGGACAACTCTGATTGGTGCTCGAAGAACCTTTCGGCAATAGACAATACTTGATCAACCTACTATTTTAACGAGAACTGCTCATTTTGCAGTTGCTCAACCTTGGCTTGAGTTTGTAGTTCATATGATAGTCTACGACTGCCGTTGTTTTGAACCTATGATCATTATATCTTTCCTTTTAACTTCTTGGATGCAGAGCGAGTAATTCTGACAGTCTATGGATCACCGGAAAAGCCACTGCGGGCTCATCTCATCATCATGTCTATGACCTCTACTTGCCGCCTCGATACACGCGACAACATCTCCAAAGTGGAAATTCTTGCCCACAATCCCAGGACCGTAGTGAGCATATTTGGCTGAGTTTGTCATAGCGTTTCTTGCTTTCAGAGGAACTACCGGCTCCTCTATCATGCACCAACACGTATCCGTTATCAGCCGGGCACCGAAACTCTCAATAACGTCTAGATAGCCGAGGTTCAGGGCCTCTTTGTATGTATCACGGCCAGTGGTGATCATGACTGCGACATTGGGTGCCTTATGTCTGCCGCGGCACACCTCGGAAAGTTGTGAGAATTCTTCAAGGGAAAAGTGCGGATTTCCTAGAGAAACGATATCGACAGAAGGGTCCATGGCCGTATTGAGCTGTCTCCAAGCCAACTGAAGTTTGGGAACTGTCACCTCGATGGTTTCTAGACTGGGTAGTGCATCTCCGAAACTTGCAGCCTCTGGCGTGATGCCATTGATGTGAAACATGGGAGCAGATGAAGTCGTTGCGAACCCCGCCCCGAATGCCTTCAGATCCGATATGGTCGGTTGTGTCGTCTCCATTCCAATGACGAAAGGAATCTTGGCGGCGACCACATGTCCGATACTGTAGCCAACAAGAGCGAAGAACGATGGATCAAATGCGCTAATCTGGGTGACCTTGATTATGACTTCCGGCTTCCTGCCTTCTGGCATATGACACCCGGCATAAGGGGCCCTTCCAGTCAATGCAATGAAAACGTCCATATAATCAGGATACTTCTGTGTGTGTGCTCCCAGCACACTGTTCGCGAACACTACGGCATTGGACTCAGACCACCCGACTTGCTCTCCAGCTACGGGCTTACTTTCGAGCAAGTACGGAGCGCAGGTGAAGCTCATCTTGGCGCCCAGCTTGAGATACGTCTCTCCAATCTTGTCTGATATCTGAGAAATATCGGACTTGGCTCCCAGTTCCTTCCACCTCTGTCGGTCGACATTCAGGGAGTTGCAGGTCGATGGTACGACAAACTTTCCTCCGAGGGAAAGCAGGCGCTTAGGGATGAGGAGACTGCTTTCGCCGACGTAGGCACAAGCGTCTACATGGACTTGAGAAACATCTATCAGGCGTTGCGCCCCCTGTATCGTGGCGTAGTCTACGATGATTTCCATTGCGATACGAGAAGCTTCGCCGCTCTCGCCAGACAAGATGGCTTTGTCGGTTGGATTCAACTCTAACGTCTTTGTGCTTTGTGGCACCAAGTAAATCTTGTGCCCGCCTGGTGAAACCACCAAGCTCGTTTCGTTGATCCGCACTGTCGAAGCTTGACGGAAGAATTCGAAATGTGATGCGTCTGAAAGGAAGACAATCGGAATGCGTTTGTCGAACATCTTCTCGGCCACTAGAACTCCCAGGGTAAGAATCATCTCCACGTCCCTGAAGATAAGGACTGCGGGCGCATTGCCGCAGAGTATCAGCTCTGCGATTGCGCTGCTGCCGGAACAGGATCCGCGACCAGCAGGGATGACGAGGACAGAGTCTTTGAGAGATGCGCCGCGGAGGGGGTGGTGTGCATCTGCCACGATGCCGGTCTTTGAGTCGACACCCATCATGAAGCTTAGCGGAACATCTGAGAAGATGACCTGGCCCTGGGCATTGCCCGGAATGACGGCAAGTGCCTGGCTTGGGTTTGGCACCATTGATTCTGTCAAGTGACAAGGAACGTCGAGTTGTTGACAAATGAAGAGCAAGCGTGAATCTATGGAACACGTATGAAGATTTGCAGTTCTAAAGATTGATATGATGCAGCTTCACAGAGTAGGCGTTAGGTAAGCCCGGAAACCCGTGCCATTTCGGCTTCCCATGTTGCTGCTTCCTTTGCCGATAAGCGGCTCGGGCAGGTTTCCGCGGCCAGCATTCCGCGGCGACCCCTCACCGGCTGTCCGCGAATGATGCCGACCCGGGACCGCAACGGCTTCGTCAAAGGTCATTGAAGTCACATTCCAAAGCCTCATATTGCAAAGAAGTACAACAAATTTGACAAAATGCCATAATCAGCGCGCCTTGTGAGCATTGGACTCCTTCTAAGTTGCCACGTTGTTCGCGATATATGCCCACTCCACATCCTCCCAGCCTGGCCTCCGCCGAATCCTCGCCATCATGTTCTCCTGAACGCTCGTCAAGGGTTTGCCGACAGCCTCAGCCAGGTTGTTATTGATCTGCGGAACCTCGATCCTGTCACCAGCCGGAGTCTCAATCTCGAATCCCAGGACCAACGCGGCCATCGCCCCCAATATTTCCGCGTCGGCAAAGAAACGTCCAGGACAAAGGTGTTTACCGCCACCGAAAGGGTTAAAGGCGCGGTTTTGCGCCCGCTCTCGTTCTCTGTCCGCGGTCATGAACCGCCGCGGATTGAATTCGTGTGCATTCACGCCCCACGCGTCGGGGCCAAAGTTGGTAATGATGGCAGGGATTTGAATGTTTGCACCCTTCTTGAGTAGATAGGTCTTTGCTTCGCCGCCTTCTCCAGATGGTGTGTAGCTGATCAATGTGTCCTCCACGACACGTCGTGTGCCCGTCGAACGATTTGTCAAGCGCATGACTTCCTTGTAGGTAGACACCAGCAAGGGGCACTCTTTACGAAATTTGGCAACGGTGAAAGTACACTTCCGAGACGGACGGCCCTCGCCAGCATCGTTGTCTTGCTGCTGTATCACGGCGAGGGCAAGAAGCTCCTTTCGCAAGTCTGCCACAAGATCGGCATCGCGGAACACATAACACATCATCCAGAAGAGTGTCGGGATGGCATTGGTGACGCTCACAAAGAGCATTCCGAACTCGTGGTCGGCGATGTCGTCAATGGGCAGACCCCACTTTCGGTTGACTGCCACGCGCCGCTTGACGACACTGCTGGCATCTGTGATGTGATCATAATCTTCGCGGAAGTATTTTCGAAGAGCCTTTTGCACCTTGGCACGGCCGTTGTATGCCTTTGATACTGTGATAGAGGGTAGCGGTTTCATGAGTAACTCGGCTTGACCACCATCGTAGTCCCTTTATTTGACGTTGTAAGCAGTCAATCTCTGGGACTCGTGAGCCTAGGAGGTGCAACATACCACAGATTCTTGCTCAACGTCGGATCCCGCATTAGAGAGTTCTTGTCGCCAAAGAGGGAGCCCACTGTGGCCATGGTGAAGGAGTCCCTGAACCACATGTACAGCTTCTTGGTCTCGTAGTGCGGTCCGATAGAATTGATAGTCTTCGAAATCTTGTTCAGGACGTAGGTGTTCATCTCCTGTAGGTCAGGACCAGGAGCCAGAGGCGCAAAAGATGGGTGTTGGTCCTCAATCCATGAGATAGACCCATCGGTTGGTGGATTGTGAAACAAGTCCATGACATTTGGTCCTAGGCCGACCATCTTCTGCGCGAACTCCGCCATCACTGGGTAAAGATTCAGAGATTTGTTCTTCATTGCAACTTGGATCAGCTGCGGTGCCGTGATGATGTACATCTTCTCGGATCCACCCATTGAGATGGAAAAGATTGGAAGTTTAGCATTCTCAAGGCTGATACGCTGTCGTTAGTCTGACTTCTGGCTTTTCTTGTCACATTGAAGTCATGTTTTGAATTATTAGACTTTCAACGTACCCGAGTTGACGATAGTATTTCTGCCTCCACCCTAGTAACCCAATGATATGACCGACGAGCGGTATTTTGGGCTTCACTTCCTGTGGCTCTCTTGGATCTACAGACTTGGCCCGCGCTTGGCTTCCGCCGACCAGGAAGACGATGCCCAGAAAAAAGAACCACAACAAGCCATTGCTGTCGCCAGTAAACAACGTATTTCTCAAGTCGGATAACGCCATGATGATCGCGGTGTTGAGATGAAGCTGCAGAGCATCGAGTAGTGCGCAACAAGACGCGCCGTGCTCCTCTGCTGTGAGGGACGCGCTGAGGGCGATGATGCCACACAGCTACAGGTAGAGCGGAGCAAGAACGAGGCCAGGTTTGTAATTCTGAAAACCCCGATGGCCGGAATAAGCGGATTGTACTCTGACATCTAAGTTTGGACGAAATCCACTTCAGGCTTGGTCTAGGCGGCAGCGCCGGGTGGTTGCCATCTTCGGAACCATCTTCAGGGGATTCAGTCGAGCAGCCACAGCCGCTGTCTCTTAGTTCGCGCGAAGGATTGCACTACCGGGACTAAGGCACCACTATGCACCTGCATGATGCGGAACGATATCTGTCTTCCCATACTTCCCTACCATTGTTTTCGTGTCTCCGAGTTGTACCCCGTACGGTGGGTGCGCAGATCGCGGACACGGTGGCCCAATTCGAGCACAGTGCGTCGTTTTAGCGCCTCAATTTAGATGCAGGATGACACGAACTTGCCCAGACATGCCAGAGACAATGTTTGCCAGGGCCCAGTAATTCAAAAATGTATGGACCCAGGAAACACATGGATCACGGCTTGATACAGCCTACACCATGTGTTCTACAAATGTCAGCACTAGGGAGTATGTCTCGGTAACCCGGTCTGCTCCCTGAGCTGACATCGCGGCAAGGCGCCGGACTCGTCACAAGACGCGTTCCTCGAAATCCAAGAAGCGGCCAGGATATTTGATATACGGACGCACTGGTCCCCGGGACACCAGGGCATCGAAGGAAACGAGGCCGCGGACCGGCTGGCCAAAGAAGGAACGACACTGCCGGCGCGGATGGGTCAAATGGCAACACTAGCGGGCATCAAGCGGCTTGCAAGGGAAAAATTACAAAGCCAGCACAGGAGATGGTGGTATAAAGAGCGAAGGCCGCGGTACGCGGACTTGGGGCTTGAGGCAGCTCTGTCCAGCCCTCCTGAACTGGCCTTGCCGCGGGCTACGTTACATCACCTGCTGGCGGCACGATCGGGTCACGGGGACTTCGAGCAATATCACCGACGTTTCAACCACGACGACGCTCTAATGATGTGCTCTTGTGGAGAGGCGAAAGACGTGGACCACCTGGTCTACTGTCGACTAACGCTGGCGAGGAGGCAACGGTGGCCGACCCTCCACTCTCGCAGTATGCCCGAGCCCATAGGTCCTATGGGATCTCTCGAGGCCTACTTCAAGAGATTAATCACCGACCCACGAGGCTTCGAGGCCTTTCTCCGCGTGACGGACTTCTTCCAGAAGATCTGTCTGCGGTAGCAGCATCCACACCTAGGTAGATGTGAGTGCGGACTACAAAGAACCTCCCGATTCCAAGGGACGATTTGGGAAAGAATGAAACTGGGGCACCAGCGGGAACCGGGGACAGACAGAACGCGTAGTGGCCACAAGGCATGATTTGGAGGACGATGTAAAGAGACGACGTACTGTAGAGTAGGTAGCCTTGGCTCACGGCCCTCCACGCCATATACCCTTCGGGAGGTCTGCGGTAAGGGCTCTAGCCCGGCCGCCACGGCGTTAAATACAACAACAACAACAACAACCTGAGCTGACATCGTGAAGATTGATGTGCCATTAGTGGTGGGAAGTCCTTCGACCACAGTCGGTACCGGTAGTCTCCTCATCTGATTTCTCTAGGCTCTGTAAACTCAACATGGTTCAATCAGAGAAAATCCCTTTCTCGGAAATCTTTCCATGGGCCACCTTTCGCCGACAGGCAAAGGCGGACCTTGCACCCCCTACGACAAGTTTCGAAGGGAAAACAATCCTCCTCGTTGGCGCCACCGGCGCAATTCTTTCAGAAGCGGCCCGCATTATTACCAGACTGAGTGTCTCGACTCTTATTTTGGCGGTCCGAAATGTTGCAAAGGGCGAATCTTTGGCTGATGAACTGAGGAAAGCGATCGAAGATGGCTCTCGCCATCAGCCAAAAATCACGGTGATGGAAGTGGACCTCTTGTCCTTTGATAGTGTCAAGACTTTTGCGACCAGAATCAACGATTCACAGCACCGTATCGATGTGGTGGTCATGGGTTCTGCTATCATGAACAATGAGACTAGAGTGACAGCAGATGGCTGGGAAGAGAGTGAGTTTCAGCTGGTAGATCCAGCTCCCTAAACCGCAACCACTGCTGTCTTTACGAGCTCAATTTTCTGACACCGATAACGCTCATCTAGCATTGCAATTGATTCATCTCTCATCGGCGCTCCTGATTCTACTCCTCTTTCCCAAAATGCTAGCCGATGGAGGAACTCAACCAGTGGTGCTCTGCAGTTTAACCAGCGCGGCAATCCGCTCCGCAGCCCCGATGGTCGAGCTCCCAAATGATGCAAAAGACTGCTATCTGAAGCAGGTCAGCATTGTCAAAGACGCCGCTACACAGAAGAGTTACCAGTATGGGCTTGCAAAGATCATCCACGCATGCTGGATCAGGGAGCTCTGCGCACGTCATCTTTCGGGCAGTGACCCGAGAATTCACTTTCACCAGCTGGACCCGGGTGCCTGTTTCACACCACTCAGCTCACAGGTTTTCATCGGGCGACTACTGCTTTGGTTCATTGGTCGACCTGTAGAGATGTGTGCACGAACCGTTGTGAACTCATGCCTACCACTGATGGGATCGCATGGCAGGTTGCTGGTCGATTACGATATTGCTCCGTAAGTTCAGGCCTCCTCCTTCACTTTTCTCAAAAGTTACACCGAAAAAGGGTTTTGAAAGCGCGGCGATAGATCATTTGCAATGTTGCTAATCATTTGGTTACGGCATAGGTACCCTGAGTTCATGGACAGGTAAGATGATGTCGAGGAATTCTTCTTTTCGCGTCATGCACATGAGAACTTGTGAACCCTGAACTTGCCAAAGCCTACCTTATGCTAATATTCATCTACGAGGACAGGACACTCGGGTTGGAACTCCAGCGCAGGGTTTGGCTAGAGACAAGCCAGGTATTGGAGAGCTTAGTCACTCCTCAAGCGAAACGTTTTCTCTTTGGCCCAAGTTCATGACTCGATTTCCAACTTAACTGAAAGACCGACGGAGTTTTACATTTTCATAAAGGCTGGTTCGCCATGAAAGGTCTACATTAGATTCACGGATGAGCCAGAGCAATTCATTATCAAACTCTATAGAGCAAATGGGGATAATTTCATCTAAGTTCTCCACCCCAGGCTTCCCATGCATCCTCCAAACTCAATCGTGCTTTCAGAACGTACAGATCTCTATGCTCCAGTGGGCTCTGTCTTGGGCACACTGGTAGAAGTTACGGGAGCATCATCCGGAGTATCAACCTTAGGTGGTCGGTCCTCTACCGGGTCGCAATCCGCCACCTTGGGAATCCCCGTGAAGAACCTCTCCTGATATGCGGCATCCATCTGGGCTTGGAAGTTGGCGTCGTTGAAAGGAACCTGCGTCTTCTCATACTGAACGTCGGTAAGGGCATCCTTGGCCAAATTTGGCAATGACTCCCAGCTGATCAGGGTTCGCTCAATGATGTTCTCGTCGTCAGCGCCCTTGAAGGCCGAGATGACGTTGTCGTGGATTTGCATCTTGGGATGGGTCGCCATGTCTAGGCCGACGCTTGCGCCTCGGAAAGATATTTCACTGATGGTGGATGGTGTACCCCAGTTCAGATGGTCAGCCGTGTAGGAAACACCGACTGGCCAAATACCAGTGATATCCTCCTCCTCACAACCCCATCGATTGACCCAGACTACCACACTAGCCCAGTAATGGCGATGTCCGTTATTCTTTCCATCGGCCCAGCGGACCTTAGGAGTGTAATAACTGTACATGATACCATTTCGACCCTGACTTTGGCCGCGCCGGGCGTAGACTTGGCCACTACCGCCAGCTCCACAGCCACTTCTACCGCCGCCTGTCGGCTTTAACCCAGCTCTATAAGTTTTGGTCAGCTTTTGCTCCATCAAAACACACTTTTCGATGAATGCTCTCGAGGTGGTCGTGGTTCAGGTGAGTTGTAGGTGCTCCTTACCCGAGATTACCATTCTCATCCACGGCTGGGTACGGATCACAGCCTCCAGAAACCCAGAGGTAGGGGTTGAACCGTAGCTCCAAACTCCCTCCCAATCCGTCAGCTGCATTCTGAGTGAATGGAACTACAGCGTCGTGGTTGATCCATTGATGTCCATTCGCGTTGTCGCCGCCTCGTGGTAAAAGTGAGCCGTAAGTTGACGCCGTGCAGCCTAGCAAGAGGCCGAGACTTTTCAGCATGATGGCGAAGAATGGAACGAAAGTGAAATAGCAGAACGGGAGTGGAATAAGTTTGGGAAGTATTCTGCTTCTTAAACCAGAAATGCTTGATAAGGCGTTTTTTCCATTAACAAAATCCGAGTTCAGTAATCAGCGTGGGTGTGTCGGCTGCCTTTTGTTTAGATAGAAGGGCAGCGGATGAACATACACAAGCCACCTGTTTATAGAAGATCAGTCCAGCGGAACAGACAAGAAAACTTTGGAGTCAAGCCTGATACAATGAGACATGGACACTCTAATGTCGGACCCTTCGGCCCCTATCAATTCATCATGTCACCTTGTACAACGAGCACCTCAAGAAGAAGGAGCTTATTGCGGCGATGCCGATCGACCATTCTTAGAGTTTGAATCAATTTGAAGTCATATTGCTCCGTTGACTGTCAAAAACATGTATTAGGTCTCCTTGGGCAGGGACAGCCTCGGTGTTGGTGTATCCGATCGAAGCATTCAGTCCTGGGCTCATTTGCTCGAGTCATCTCCAGAAAGATCGATCACCGCATGACGTAAAGCGAAATATGACTGATTATTCATCAAATGAATAGTTGCTACACGAAAGTGTGATTAACGTGTGGATGTAGATGGTGTGCAGTTCGTGGCCTGGCTGCCCCATTGGTTAAATGTAGGTAAGAACAGATTTTCATCGCGATCCTATTGGCCGCTAGATGGACTCAGCATGAGACATCGCGAAGTATTCAGAGCAACGTAGCAACAGATGATAGATTAGTCCGTCAAGCTCTCCCTTGAATTCTTGCATCAGGAAGATTTACATTGGAGCAGAATCATTGAAAACTGGGGGCGTACATACTGTCGCCATTCAGCACAGGACCAGATATCCCACACCAGTTACCTGTGATAGAAACGTGATATAGGTTGACGTAAGTTCGCCCACTCGTTCAATCCTTGAGCAAGTTCAATAAAGTGGTTAACAAATTGTCTCTTCCAGGGTATGGATGTCGGTCTCAGCCTTGGCTAGAGCGGAGAACGGTGGAGAGTGTTGCCGCGAGTGCCGGGACTTGGCGAGTGTCATGTAGTACGAAGTAGTCCTGGCCGGAGAGATAATTAACGAAGAATCTTCCGTTGGGGGGTTTAGGGTCAACCACCGCAATACATGTATGCTAAGCAACCTGACTCAGTCATACTATGTCAATTATAGCAACGGAAACAAACGTAGTAACTTGACTCAGTCAGAGGGACTCATCGCATTCTCGCGATAACAGTTCCAGCAACCTGACTCGGCCGCATCAACTCAATTATAGCGATCTCGAAAAAAAAACAGACCAAACAGCTCGGCTACGGCAAGTCGCTCTATCCAAAAATTGATCATGGCGAAGTCCAGGTCTGCGAAACACTTATAAGAATCGTTGACTCTTCGCCGCATTCTGAATGTTAGATCAATTCGATTCTCAAGATCTCTCGGGTTACGATAATTGGGATTCAAGCCATTCCTCATGACTTTTTTCAGTCGTCTTTTCCTGTTGTTGGCCCTGGGATACCTATTCGTAGGCACCCAGGGTAGAATGGTTATTGGATATCGCACAGCCGCCGAAGTAAGTCACCTCCTATCAGGGTCAGGGATTAGCTGTGTCCATTTCACTAACAATATCGCCAACTCGTAGGAAGAAGCTGTGCAGATCAACGAGAGAAACATGCCCTTCAGAGATCCAGCCTTCGACAACTTGCCGGGTGGCAGTCAAGTATGTTGTTGTTGTTGTTGTTGTATTTAACGCCGTGGCGGCCGGGCTAGAGCCCTTACCGCAGACCTCCCGAAGGGTATATGGCGTGGAGGGCCGTGAGCCAAGGCTACCTACTCTACAGTACGTCGTCTCTTTACATCGTCCTCCAAATCATGCCTTGTGGCCACTACGCGTTCTGTCTGTCCCCGGTTCCCGCTGGTGCCCCAGTTTCATTCTTTCCCAAATCGTCCCTTGGAATCGGGAGGTTCTTTGTAGTCCGCACTCACATCTACCTAGGTGTGGATGCTGCTACCGCAGACAGATCTTCTGGAAGAAGTCCGTCACGCGGAGAAAGGCCTCGAAGCCTCGTGGGTCGGTGATTAATCTCTTGAAGTAGGCCTCGAGAGATCCCATAGGACCTATGGGCTCGGGCATACTGCGAGAGTGGAGGGTCGGCCACCGTTGCCTCCTCGCCAGCGTTAGTCGACAGTAGACCAGGTGGTCCACGTCTTTCGCCTCTCCACAAGAGCACATCATTAGAGCGTCGTCGTGGTTGAAACGTCGGTGATATTGCTCGAAGTCCCCGTGACCCGATCGTGCCGCCAGCAGGTGATGTAACGTAGCCCGCGGCAAGGCCAGTTCAGGAGGGCTGGACAGAGCTGCCTCAAGCCCCAAGTCCGCGTACCGCGGCCTTCGCTCTTTATACCACCATCTCCTGTGCTGGCTTTGTAATTTTTCCCTTGCAAGCCGCTTGATGCCCGCTAGTGTTGCCATTTGACCCATCCGCGCCGGCAGTGTCGTTCCTTCTTTGGCCAGCCGGTCCGCGGCCTCGTTTCCTTCGATGCCCTGGTGTCCCGGGGACCAGTGCGTCCGTATATCAAATATCCTGGCCGCTTCTTGGATTTCGAGGAACGCGTCTTGTGACGAGTCCGGCGCCTTGCCGCGGATGCCTTGTATAACGCTGGTGTTGTCGATACATATGTGGATTGGATGACCGCGATTGGTGAGCAGAGCCCTTCTGAGGCCGGTTCGCGCCCCTTCGACCTCGGCGTCGAACACTTCTGCTAGTCCGAGTCGGCCGCACCCTTGCGCTATGCGTTTGGAGTCTCGGTAGATGACGAAGCCGTACCCCACGGCTCCGTTCGTCGCCCTGGAGCCGTCCGAGAAGACGATCATATGGCTTTCCGGTACTGTCTTTAGCCAGCGCTCGAAAGCTTTCGCAGCCTCTTCTTTGCATTGAACTACTATCTGATCCTGTGAGCTTGGCAGGTACTGTGATTGGAGGAACGTTGGTCTTCCGCATCTTGGCAGAAGTTCAGCCGTCCGTTGTAGTCTCGTCTGTTGCTGTCCCTGCTGGGAGAGCCGCGCGACTAGCGGGTGTCGGCGATCAATCCTCTGTAGTCGGACTGCGGCCCGTAAACGGACGCCTTCTAAGGCGACTTTGGCTGACGGTAAGCCGGCGTCTCGGAGGAGGCTACTGGTTGGCGTTGTCCTCCAGACAGGTAGAACGATCCTTGCTGCCGCTGTAATGACGCTGTCGATCTTCTGCACGAGCCCCTTCTGGCCTGTGTTGACGGGTCTTCCTTGGAAAGGCGGACTCGTGTCTGTCTCCGCTTGGCGTCTCGAAGCCGGCTTCGTGATACCTGCGTACCATGTTTCGGCGCCGAAGAGCGCGATCGGCAGTACGTAGGAGACGACGGCTTTTCGCACGGCGGCCGCTGGCAGTCCTCTCTTTGTGTTTGTAAGCTGCCTCAGGTGTTGAGCTGCCTTCTTTGCCGCAGCTACTCTTGTGTCGACGTGGTGCCGGAAGGACAGTCTCTTGTCGAACCAGACACCCAGCCAGCGTACAGGATTTGTCGAGGCCTTGACCACCAAATCCCCCGCCCTGACCTCTGGCAGCTCCGCTGGCTGGCTGTGCTTCCTAGTAAAGTGGATGACCTCGCACTTGCTCGGGTCGAAGGAGACCTTGTTCTCCGAGCCCCATCTGAGAATGCCGGCTGCGCTTCGGTTGAGTATTGCGACGTTGCTCTCCAGGGAGGGGCTGATGGCCAGAGTGGCGATGTCGTCCGCGTACCCGAATCGCGCGTCCGGGTCGTCTTCAAGGATCTCCGCGATGTAGAGCAGAAAGACGATGGGAGATAGTGGCGACCCCTGAGGCAGCCCGCATGACAGAGGAAAGTATTCCGTCGTGCTTTCTTCCAGTCGGACTCTGGCGATGCGGTTGCAGCAGAAGCTGAAGATGAGTCTAATCAAGCCGTGTGGCCATCCCTGCTGACGCAGTCTAATGACGAGCCGGTTCCGAAGGACGGAGTCGAACGCCCCTTTTACGTCCATAGTCAGAAGCGTCGCCGTGAGCCCTTTTAGGAGGGCCGTTTCGATATCGTGGGCGAGGCAGGTCGTCAGATCGACGGCTGACCTGCCTTGTAGAGCTCCGATCTGTTGCGGACTGACGATGCGCTCGACAATCGCCAGAGAAGCCATCCTTCTGGCTATTAGTCTCTCGAGTCCTTTGCCCAAGCACGAGAGGAGCGCGATCGGCCGCCAGGACCCGGGCTTGGAGGCATCCCTGCCGGCCTTCTGGATCATGACCACCTCAGCTCTGCGGAAAGGCAGAGGAAAGTGGCCGGCCCGCATACAGGACTGGAATAGCTGCCTGACCGGCTCCGAGATGACGCCCCAGCAGGCCTGGAGGAGGCGCGTGGTGATCCCGTCCACACCAGGGGTCGTTGTCTTTGTTAAGGTGGCCGTCTTCACTTCTTCTCCGCTAACATTGTCCTGCCAAGTAATCGCTCGCCTTGGGACGACGGGTACGTCAAACGGATTACCCGGTGCGTCATCTTCCGCACTAAACCTGTCGAGAAGGGCTTCCCGAAGCGCTTGGGCCTTTTCGTCAGTATCCTCGATCGTCTGGTTGTCCACAACCAATGGGGGTGCTCTGGTCAGTGGGCTCGCCTTCCGCCAACCCATGATCTGGTACAGGTCCCGGTCTGAAGCGACTCCATCGATCTTTCCGGCCCAGTATGCTCGCTTAGCCTTCCTCACCGTGCTCAGGAACGCCTTTCGTTTCTCCATTAGATAAAGGTGCGCATCTTGCTCCGTCTCCCAGGCTTGTTGGTTGCGGGCAGCACGGTATGCTCTGTGGGCCTCTGCGCATTCCTCCGTCCACCAAGCCGCGCCTTTACCATGTTTTCCTCTCTTCTTGCCGACCGCCTCAATGGCTCGGGAGAAGAGCTCGACGATGTGACTTGCCTGCCCGTCCAGGTCTTCCGGAGTAGGTTGATCCCCCAG